ACTTAATGTTAGGCAAAGTGAGCCAGACTTTGAAAGATATACATTATATTTTCCCACTCATTTGATACTGAGTGTCTGCACTCTATGGCAGGTGGAGAAGATGAATGTGGGTGCTAGAAACTGTAAGGGAGAGAGCGGATGGTAGAAAATGGGTGGTGGGTGGTAGGCAGTAGGTGATGGAGGACGAATTGAGGAAATATTTAACAGACAGAAAATTGTAAAGTTTTCTGTTGAAAATACATGTATGTATTGTATAATTCATGACGGAGACTTTATGTAAAAAAATTGATTTGAATTTTTTTAAAAAGATATTAATTGGCTCTATTTGCAAATCTAGAGTTGGACAACATGTCATTCCATAAATTTCCAAAAAGGTCACCTCATGGAACTCAGGGAAACACCTACTTACATTTGCCAGTTTATTTTACAGATGAATAACCAGATGAAAAGATGGATAGGGTGGGATATAGAAGGTTAGAATGGGAATGGCACTTTCAGGTTCTCTCCTATGCACCACCATCCTAGCATCTCCACATATTCAGCAACCCAGAAACTCATCAAATCTTATTGTTCAAGAGTTTTATGTTTTTTTTTTTCCTTTGTTTATTTGCCAGAGGACACACACTCACCAGTTAAAGAGAGAGATAAAGAGAAAGAGAGAATCAAGAAAGTATCCCCCATGGGAATGGTCATGCTGCACTCCCTTCTCTTCCATCTCACCCTCCTGCAAGATTTTGGGCATGCATGCATACATACCCTGGGTGTTTTTCAAGCCACTGGGTCCAGGACTCACATGTAGCCATGTAGGATCCAGCTGCCTTAACTACCAGGCCACAGGCTGGCTCTCAAGCATTTTTCTAATTTGATCTCCAGTCCCTCTCCCCCTCCCAGAGGTCAATGAGTGATGCTGAAAATTCCAACCTTCTAATCACTTGGTCTTTCTGGTGACTGGCTCTATCCTGAGTTTATCTGGGGGCTCCACTCTAAGAAACCTCATTAGTACAAATGCAGAAGTTATTACATAGGTTCATTATAAATAATAGAATATATGACTATAACTTAGGAAATTCCAGGGGTTTCAGGAGCTATATGGAGTAACTAGAGAAAAAGATCAAATAAATTTCTTATTATGCCACATCATGTTCACTTAATTGTCTTTCATCTCACATAGTTCCTCAGTCTTTACCTTGACAGTTTTAAACAATATAGTTCAGTTGTTTTGGAGAATATCCTCAATTTAGGTTTATCTGGTATTTCCTCATGCTTAGGTCTAGGTTACCAGAGAAACAACATATCTTTTCTTGGTTTACCATATCAGTTATAGAATGTCAATTTCCCCATACTGATAATGTTAATTTTGATAATTTGGTTAAGAAGGTATATTTTAGGCTTCTCAACTGTAAATTTATTCTCCCTATTTGACATTTTTTGGAAGTGGAGTGGGCAGATGATACTGTATTAATGATATTTTTTAATATTTCATTTTCTGGTTGTTGATGGCACATAGAAATTCAATTGATGATCTTAAACTTGCTAGATTCTAATTTCTTTATAACTTTTAATATCTCAATTCTTTTCATTCCAATAATTCATCTGTAGATTATGTGAATTTTCTAGACATGCAAGTATATCAATTATATGGATAATGACAGGGTTTTTTTCCTTAGGCCTTATATATTTTATTTTGCTTTCTTGCCTTTTGGACTTACTAAGGCAATATTAAACAGAACATTTTCCATGGGAAAATTTTTATTTTTTTTAATATGTTGTAGATTTTTTATATTAGGTCATCAGGAAAGTCATGACATATTTTTGCAAAGAAAGACATAGAAAAATGGGGACCAGCAGTTAGCGTAATGGCTATGTTGCTGGACTCCCACATAGTCGACCGCGGTTCGAGTCCCAGACCCGGTGGCTTAAACTCATGCCAAGCACATGTGCGTGCGTGCCCAAGATCCTGAGAGGAGAATGGAGGAGAAGGGATTGTGGCGTGGCCATCCTCCCCCTGGGGGGGGGCAATTTCTTGCTTTCTGTCTTTCTGTCTCTCTCCACCTGTCTGGCAAGTGCACGTGCCCTATAGCAAAAACCTCTCCAAAAAAAGAAAAACATGGAAAAATGTCTCATGACTTTTCCAATGACCTAATAAAATCATTTGCCACATTAGAGAAGATCTTTTCATATATGTGTGTGTGTGTGTGTGTGTGTGTGTGTGTGTGTGTGTGTGTATGTATTTATTATTATTATTATTAATTTCCTATAGGACTTCTGTGCTCACTGGAGGGAGAAAGAGAGAGAAAGTGAGTAAAACACCCCCTAGAGGATATGACCATATCACAATCCTTTCTTCTCCATTCTCCTTTTAGGATTTTGGGCATGCATGCACATGTGCCTGGCATATTTTTCAAGCCTCTGTGTCCAGGACTCTATGTAGTCAACCATGTAGGAGGATTCAGGTGCTTTAATCACCAGGCCAATGGCTGGCCACAGGGAAGGTCTGTATTTTCCATTCACTGATGCTAGGCTTTTCTTTTTCAGTCAGGAATATTTATAGAATTTTACCAAATGCCTTTTCCACCTCTACTAAATTAATAATATTATCCCTTTACTCTGCATATATAATTACATTGATTAACTTTTCAAATGTTAAACCAACCTTGTATTTTATAAAATAAACCAATGTACTCACACACAATTGCTATTGTCTTTGCTAGGTTCTTATTTGTAAAACTAAATTGCAGCTATCTCCAACTAATTTTTTTATCCCAACTATAATTTGATTTAATTTATGGCACAAATTATAGTCAGTTTTGGTAAATGTTTCCAGCTCTCTCTTCCCTTTTCCAATCACTATAGCTATGCAATAAATCATTTCCAAAAATTAATGGTTTGGAATAACAATAATCATTTTTATCTCCCACGGTTTATCTGTGTCGAAAATTTCAGGGACAATAATTGGTGTAATGGTTATGTCGCTGGACTCCCAGGTAGTCACTGCAGTTCAAGTCCCAGACCCAGCAGCTTGAAACTCACCCTGGACGTGTGTACGTGTGTGCCCAAAATCTGAAGAGGAGAAAGAAGGAGAAGGGACTGTGGTGTGGCCATCCTCCCCTGGTGGTGGTGGTGGGGGGGGAGTGGCGTGGTTTCTTGCTTTCTATCTCTATCTCTCTGTTTCTCCACTGAGAGCACACACCCTTTGGGGGGGGGACTATCTTAAATAAACAAATAAATAAATAAATAGAACTCCAGAGCAGCTCAGCTGGGCAGTTCTGAAGCTCAAGGTCTCTCAAGAGGTTGCAATCAGATTGGTTGGGGTTGGCTGAGCTCAAAGGCTTCTTCATTGAGATGCCTGGTCCCTAGGCTGGGGAGACTCCAACAAGATATTGACCCACCTAGGGCTCCTCAACCATTTTTTCTAACTCAGTGTTGTCCCCACTGTGTCAGCTTAGGATAACTGAGCTTTTTATATGGCATCTCAGGGTTCCAAAGGCATGCATCCTAAGAGAGGCAGGGAGAAGCTATTAGATTGTCAAGAAAGGCATGTTTTTTTCTATCAAAAATATGTCATGAGTTTCTTGATGACCCATTATTATATATTGCCTTTTGACCTAACATGGTAAGTCACATAACATCAATCTATCAAACATTTTTTGGTTGAGACAGTTACAAGACCCTACTCAGCTTCGAAGGTCGGAAAAAATGGCCGATCTCTCAATGAAGAAGTCACAAATGACTCTTTCACATTGCAACTCCTTCACAAGTTACAAGTCAAATGGTAAGAACAGGCAGGATCAGACATACATGGTTGCAATCATCTAGACAATGTGACTTGCCATAGTAGCAACCACAAGTCCCATAGCCAGTTAGTCATCTCTGTATTGAGACCTGCTCTAGCCTATGGCTTTCCACAACTCCTTTTCTCTGCCTCCAGTAGCACAGTGCCTGTGTTCACTCATTGTCCTTCATGCACAATCACACACCTAGTCCCATAAGCTTGCTCTTAAGGTCAACGCCTCAGAGAGTCTCTCTAGAGTTTTAGAGGGTAAATAAGATCCTTAGAGAGATTTTTGCCCACTGAACTGGGTTAGGAGCTGGTAACAAAATGATTAAAAAAAAAAAAAAAAAAACACCCCCTCACGAAGGAGTAGTCATCTCTGTATTGAGACCTGCTCTAGCCTATGGCTTTCCACAACTCCTTTTCTCTGCCTCCAGTAGCACAGTGCCTGTGTTCACTCATTGTCCTTCATGCACAATCACACACCTAGTCCCATAAGCTTGCTCTTAAGGTCAACGCCTCAGAGAGTCTCTCTAGAGTTTTAGAGGGTAAATAAGATCCTTAGAGAGATTTTTGCCCACTGAACTGGGTTAGGAGCTGGTAACAAAATGATTAAAAAAAAAAAAAAAAAAAGCCACCCCTCTAGAAGGAAGTCAGTGGAGAAAGGAACTTGTCAGTCATCCAGAAAATACAGAACTTTAAAGGACATTGAGGCCAGAAGCATCATGATGAGTTTACACTTTAGAAAGATCATAGCTATGATTAAAGTAAAGTTTTCCCTGTCTCTTGCTGCCAGGAACAAAGCATAGTCCATTGAAAATTTCCATTACATTGTAGTAGACCTGAGGGAGAACTCTTTGATCTAAAGCCTCTTTGAGTGAGAATTATCCAGACCTAGCTTGTCTATGTACAAACCAGAAAGCATACACTGAAAAAAACTTACACTGGAATGGGGTTTGTTTTCCTCAGTTTGGAAGACAGAATTAGGAGTTGCAGTAGCAAAAATAACTCATCTTCTGAAGAATTCACTCCAAATTCTGAGTTCATGTTCGCCATTACAACAGACATAGGTTGTTAATTTAATTCTGTAACCGTGAAGAAAAATGGGCATAACAACAATCCTTGTAAATTGCTCTGGAAATATCTGATTTATTAAAAATGCCCAGGATGTTTTTAGCAACAAAATTTACCTATGAAAAGTGCGACAAAGATGCTAAAGAATACTCACAATTGCCTTCTGTGGACTTGAGAGTGGCAGCAGTAATTCATGGTAGAGCTTTCTTTTCCTGCACCGTAACCTACATTGGACAGAGAAACTGTATACCTGATTGATTCAGGAAATCAAAGCAATAAAACTGCCAGGGACAATGCGGCCAAGTGATTAGGAGAAGGCTGGTTGAAAATTTAAGAGCCCTTTTTACTCATTAATCTCCAACTGCTAAAGACAAACAAAAAGCAAAATTAACATGATTGTAAACTAAGCACTTGTGTCCCTTGGCCCGCTGGGAGAGGATGGGTTGATCAAAGCAAATGAGTCGCTAAGAACTGTGGGACAGGCACTGCTTCGCAAGTGCACAGCCGGCATCCATTATCCAGCCTGTGTCTGGGACAGGTGAGCACCGTAATTCATCTTGGCTTCAATTTGGAGCCAAGTGGGAAACCTACCTCCCTGTCCACGCAGTTTATATGTGAATCCCCTGAGTTCTGGGGGGAGGGGGGAGAGGGGTGGAGTTTTTGCATTGGCATAAAGACTTTTTCTGCCCTTTCAAATGTGTCCAGAACAAACAGCTGGGAGGGGTTTCTGAGTTCCCTAACTTTAAGCAGTTAAGATGCCTTCCAAGAAAGCTAGAAATTGCTGTCTTAGTTCAATGCGTAGGCTCTCCCAATGAAACTAGAAAGTTTTTTGTTTTTTCAAGAAAATACTACAAGACTCAGAAGGAAGCTTCCCCCCACTATCATAACCATGAAAACTCAAAAGCTTAGAATTGAAGTTATTCTCAAGGGTAAACCCATGTGATCAATGGGCACCTGAATTACTTAAATCATGTCCAGGACTTGACATACTCATATGGTTCTGGTACAAGAAAATAAATAGGCATCTGACTTGGTCTTTTCTTTTCACCAAATTCCTTTTTTTTTTTTCAATTTCCTTTTTTTTTTTTCAATTGCCAGAGGACAAATATGCTTGCCAGAGAGAGATGGAGAGACAAAGAGAAAGAGGGGGAGAACACATCTCACAATGGGGTGTGGTCATGCCAAAATCTCTTCCCCATTTTTCCATCCTGTCAGGATTTGGAGCACCCATGCACACAGGCCAGAGTGTTTTTCAAGCTACTAAGGCCGGGATTCAAACCACAGTTAGCCACATGACTTCTGACTCCCTGAACCAACAGGTCGCAGGGCTGGCCTCAAAATTCTTTAAAAAAACCAACAAAGTGTAAAATGAAATATCTGCATCAACAACTGGAATTTCATCTGAGAATCACTGAGAAATTGAATGCTGAAATTCAATCCTGAATTGAACTGGGTTGCAAAATAAAGCCAAACCACAGAAGACGATCTTTCCTCTGAGTGGACACAACAAGCTGCTGGTATGAGCAGGAGACGCCATTGCAGAAGGAAGCCTCTGCCATCCAAATCATGGAGAGAGAGGCCCTCTGCCACAGGCCCTGTAGGAGGCGGGACATTTAGTGCTCCCCTCTCTTTCAGCACCCTGAGTGGTGGGTCAAGGTCTTAACAAGGCACAAATCAGTCAAAAACCTGAAAGTGTAAGGGTTTCGTTTTTGTTGTTGTTGTTGTTGTTGTTGTTGTTTTTAGAGGTTTTTGCTATAGGGTGCATGTGCTCACCAGAAAGATAGAGAGAGACAGAGAGACAGAAAGCGAGAAATCACCCCGCAGGGGGGATGGCCACACTGCAATCCCTTCTCCTCCATTCTCCTTTCGGATCTTGGGCATGCACGCACACGTGCCTGGTGTGAGTTTAAGCCACCGGGTCCGGGACTCGAACCACAGTCAACTACATGGGAGTCCAGCAACATAGCCATTACGCTAACTGCTGGTCCCAGGGTTTTGGTTTTAATTTGCTACAGGATGCATGTGCTTGCTAGAGAAAGAGTGAGAGAGAAAGAGAGAGCAAGCAAGCCCGAACACACACACACACACACACACACACACACACACACACACACCGGCAATCCCTTTTCCATTCTCCTCTCAGGATTTTGGGCGTGCACACACTTCCAGCATAGTTTTTAAGGCTCCAGTTCCAGGACTGCAACCAGATGGTCGGCGATGTGGGACCCAGCAACCTTAACCACCATGCCACCAGCTGGCCCAAAGCATAATAAGTTCTTTTTCCCAGAGATCCCTACTCATATTAGAGATGTGACTTCAGCTCTGACTCTACCATCCCCATTCCACTATGCTCCTCTCCCACAATTTTATTTTTAAAGAATTATTTTATTTAACTTTATTATTTATTTTATTTTGACCAGAGAGAAAGAGAGAGAGAGGAAAGTGAGAAAGCAAGCCACCAGGTCTGGGACTTGAACCGCGTTCAGCCATGTAGGAGTCCAGTGCCCCCAACCACCTCACCACCTGCCGGCCCCCCTCCCACAATTTTATGACAATATGTTGCTGCATTTCTGAAATATCATTACTGCTAGGTTTCTTTATTTTTATTTCATCTGGATCTGATGTCCTACTAATAAAGATTTGGTTCGGGACTATTCAGTCTATTCTGTTGCTTGATAACTGAATAACGCAGTCTGGATGACTTATAAAGATTAGAGGTTTATTCAGCTCAGTTTAGGAGGTCTGAAGTCAAAGGTCCCCATCTAGCAAGGGCCTTCTCGTTCGGGGGACTCTCCATAGAGTCCTGAGGCAACACAGCATCGCTTGGCAAGAACTTGCATGTGTCTGTAATAGTGTCACTCCCTCTCCTTAGCCCATGAGGATTCAATCGTGGGCTCTGCCTTGATGACCTTGTCTAGTCCTTCTCACTGCCCAAGTTCCAGAGTCAAAAGTTTTTGCTCTCTTAACCCTGTCACAACCAAATTTCAGTTTATGAATTTTGGAGGAACACATTCAGCCCGTAGTAGGGACCCACATCAATTTCTGACAACCTGCAACTCAGCTATTTGTTCAAAATCAGCTGAGTAAGACTATGGCTCTATTGAAAGAAAATTCAGCCATGAATTTTATTTTGTTGTGCAAAGAAGAAACAGTGTGGTTGCCCCCTGTTGTGTGAAGGGCTGGGGGCAAACTCCACATCATCATTCGGTTGGGGTTATGCACTAGACTTCCGTGGGGAAGTGCACAAGTCAAGGGTCTGCGAGAGAAGATGACATGGTCCCAGACTCTCCCACCATCCCAGAGAAAGGGATGCTAAGATGGGGTGCCATCTGTGTCCCAGTGGGAGGACATGTGCCCTCCAGTACCATACCACCTTAGGGTACACTTAGGAAAAAGCAACCCAGTCACAATGTGGACAAAGAGTATTTAGAACCAGGATGGCTGAGTGTAGATGTCAGGTGTTAGGAGTTGTCTGGGAAAGCCTGTTACTCAGAACCTGGGGATTTCAGGGACGCTTGTAATGTAGTACCGTCCACTGGGGCAGAAAGCCATCCTGTGGGAGGCAAGGCTTCGGCACTAGCTTCCTCTCAATAGCAGGGGAGACTTTAGCTCTGGCTGGCACAATAGTCAGGCAGCCTCAGCATTAGCTCCAATGGTCATTTGTGGGTGACCTACCTGAGGCACCACACTTTTCTACTCATCCTTTAAACACGCTAGTCATAACCCCTCTAGAGACCTGGCAGTAACTTATAGGAACAACACCATGCTACAACTGTCTGTCACAAAAAGGAAGTTCTGAGTTGATGAAAGCTTGTCTAGAGATGAAAAAGCTTCAATGGTGTAACTGTATAACATTGATCAGAACATGTTAATGAGGGAGAAGGCAAAATAGAGATAGTCTATTAGTTAGGGCTAAAAGATGGAGAGATGGGACCAGCAGTTAGCATAATGGTTATGTTACTGGACTCCCATGTAGTTTACTGTGGTTTGAGTCCCAGACCCAGTGGCTTAAACTCATGCCGGGCAAATGTGCGTGCATGCCCCAAATCCCGAGAGGAGAATGGAGGAGAAAGGATTGTGGTGTGGCCATTCCCCACCCCGGGGGTGATTTCTTGCTTTCTGTCTCTCTGTCTCTCTCTGTCTTTCTGGTGAGCACACATGCCCTATAGGAAAAACCACTCCAAAAAAAAAAAAAAGAGGAAAAAAGAAAAGATAGATTATGAGATGAATATGAAGAAAGATATGAGGGAGAAAGTAACAGTCAAAATAAATTCATTCCATGGGACCAGCAGTTAGTGTAATGGCTATGTCGCTGAACTCCCATGTAGTCGACCAGGTTCGAGTCCTGGACCCGGTGGCTTAAACTCACGCCGGGCGTATACGCGTGTATGCCCAAGATCCTGAGAGGGGAATGGAGGAGAAGGGATTGTGGCATGGCCATCCCCCCTGGGGGGTGATTTCTCACTTTCTGTCTCTCTCTGTCTTTCTGGCGAGTGCACATACCCTATAGCAAAAACCTCTCCAAAAAACAAACAAATAAATAAATAAATAAATTCAACAAATACTCATTGAGCACTTGTGTTAAGTTCTGAGGATGAACTGGTACATAAGAATGCTATTATCCTAAGAGATCTCAAATAGTGAAACTAATAATTTGTAAATTTCCCCCTAAATTACTTGGAGTAATATTCTAACACTCTAAGTTGCAATTCTGTTTACCTAAATGAATTTTTTTAAAAAGTCTAGTAATGAAATAGAAATAGTAATAATTTTAAAGCAGGAAAAGAATATCTAATCTTTCAAAACTCAGAGGACTGGGGCTGGCAGGTGGCATGGTGGGTGGGGGGCACTGGACTCCCACATAGTTGACCACAGTTCAAGTCCTGGACCTGGTGGCTTGCTTTCTAGCTTTCTCTTTCTCTCTTTATCTTTCTCTCTCTCTGACTCTCTTTCACTAGCTCTGTCCCTCTCTGGTCAAATTTAAAATAAATAAAGTTAAAATAAAATAATTATTTTAAAAAATTCAGAGGGCCAGCAGGTAGAGGTTAAGGCACTGGATTCCATATGGCCAACTGTGTGGTTTGAGTCCTGGACCTGGCAGCTTGAAAATCACACTGGGCGTGTGTATGTGTGCCCAAAATCCTGAGAGGAGACTGGGGGAGAAAGGGTTCCAGCATGGCCATCTCCCTTGTGTGTGTGGGGTGGTCATGGGGGCTTTGATTTC